CAAATTTGAGCTTTGGCGCCTTCGGACTAACCCAAGGACCGCTCGGAGGCATTTTTCGACGGGCATTGAACTCAGTTCCAGTCTTCTCTAAGAAACACACGGTCACAGACGCCATATTAGTAGACAATGATTGTTCCGCTTCATAGCGCGCGCCAGCCCGGCGTGCTTCGTCGTCTCAATGTTGTGAATAACGTCATCAAAACTAAATCAGTGATCAATCAACAGGGTTTGAAGGTCAAGGAGGCTAGCCAGCATGCGCATGGCTGTCACTTCCGTTTTGCTTTGTACGTCGGCGCTCAGGTGTCAATGTGGGTGATGGTTTTTACAGTTAACTGTTAACAATTTGGCCATTTTACGGTAAATGGCTAATATTTTTCTATTGCGGTTAAAAAAAACTTACCGATAGCCTAAACTAAGTTAAAATTTGTCAGTTTTTACACCCAACGGCTAAATTTTTGCCAGTAACCCTACTGAGACCCTCTTATCTTGGTAATCTGAAACATGCCGTGACAATTCTCACAATTCTCATTTTTGTACTTTGTGGTTACTGCCTCCTAATAGGGGGCGAAGTCAGAAATGTTGTCCAGATGATCGGCAGGAGTGAGGGAGCGAATGATCGTAATAATAGAGTTCCGATCTTGACCCAATTTTGACTCGATCTTTCCCAGTGCTACCTATTGCATTTTTTTTGGAGTATCTTAATAGTGCGACATTCGCACTCGATACACAGTTGAATTCTCTCCTTTTGTGATTTCTGGATTATAGCCATTAGCAAATCGTCTTTTCATCGTGCGCGATTTAGAACAGAAGTTTTGCGAGCAAAAATATCTTAAAAGGTGAGATCGGTGCATCATAAATCTCAGAGGAAATCTTTTTCTTTGAGGAGAGAGCATTTTACCTTTCAGATCAGCAAATAATATCCAACGATATAATCTTTTGAGTTCTTACCGTGCGTGGCAATACAAAAGACGACAAATATCTCAAAATAATTTCACAATGGCATCCACCGACGCATTACTGTATAGCCTGAGAAAAGCAGCCGCCTTTCGCTCCCTTCGTTTCCCCGTTTCCTCGTTTCCTCGTTTCTTTCGCTAGGTAACGAAGGGAGCGAAAGGACGGTTGCTATTCTCAGGCTAATTACTGTAGCACTAGAACTTTTTTGTTTGTTTAGTGAAAAGTCTGTCAACAAGTAGAGTAAAATAAATAGGACCCCCAATTTAAAAAACTTGCCAATTTTTTTGCAAATCGCCAAATGTTCCCCATTCTTCTAAGAACCCAATGTCCTTCCCCGAGGGCCACCAAATTTTGGCAAAAAAAACAGTCATTTTCTTTAACCATTTAGCTGTCATCGTGTGAAAGATATATCTGGATAAAATTTCTTTAGGAAATAATAATTGGGGAGTGCGATAACAGACATTGCAGGACTGATTCAGTTCCACGTCCATCCGTGACCCTTTTACTTTCTAGGGAAACGAATTTATGCTCCGCTTTTATTCAAATGTCTGTTATTCGCATCCCGGGTCCGGTTATGCTGGCAGCAATTTAGAGAACATGTGGCTTAAACGAGAGATAATCCTTCCGTTGCAGGTATTTAGCCAGCTCAAGTGGCGCAAGCGTCAACCAAAACGCAAAAGATCAGCTGGAAAAAGGGATCCCTTCCGCCATAGCAATGCGCATGATATTTTCCCTCTTCTTTTTAGAGTGAGATGGCTTTGTGGTTGACATATGAATCAATCAGTGCAGTTTTGGTAAAAAATTTTGCCAATTTCTGGTTTGCCAAAAATTGGAAAATATTTGAATTTGCTCATGTGCGACCCGACCTTTTTCCTCTCAGAAATATCTTAATCACTGAGCGTGATCTGTACATCATGTAAGCTTAGAACAGAATTATCTTTTTCTGAAAAGAGAGCATTTTGCAGTTTGAATCAGTGACTTTTGCCGAAAAGGGCCGCTAAATTTGCGAAGCGAGCAAGCTGCGAAGTACGATGCCCTGCGTTATTCAACTGGACGATAGAACGGAGGAACGGTGGGTCGGTGAAGTTGCGGAACATCTTAAAGGCCGGGCTAAACTAGGAAACTTTGTTTCGGAAACATTGTTTCCTGTTATGTTTCCAGGGGTGGCTAAATTATCGGGAAACAAACAAAATGTTTTGCAGCCCCAGTGGCTAAACGAGGAAACATTGTTTCGGAAAACAAATGAGCTACGCATGCGTGTATGAATAAACTGACTTCGAGGAAGTCTGGGGATCATAGAATATTCACATTTTCATTGTATCAAAGCCCTTTGTGGCATTCCGCATAATAATAAGGAACTTCAGCATCTTGTACCACCTTCAAGAGGGGTGGTACACATCGCTTGTTTGTTGACCGGACTTCTTTTTTCTTTGCAGGACCTGTTCCCTTCTAAATTGTGACCTGATAGTTTTCCACTTGCTCTTGTAATCCTCCCGGCTGATATCATATTTTTCTGTAATCAGTAGATCGATTTGCGAATACGCCACCTCGTTACTGTCCCTGTTCATGTAGTCCTTATGACCCACGTCCCAGAGACAACGCCTTTCCTCATACAGCGTAATTAGCATTTCGATCTCTTCATCTTTCCAATTCCTTTCCCTTTCTTTGAGTGCGACCTGCTTGAATTTCTTCGCAGTCAGCCATTTTAACTGTTGTCTGCTCGCCGTTGCTATCACGGAAGCATTTTTCAATACGCGAACGGCACTGGAAACTAATCAAGATTGTTTTCATCGTGGCTAAACTGGGAAACATATGTTGCGGACGCAAAATTTGTGTCCGGGAAACAAAAATGGTTTTTCTAGAGGAAAAACCATTTTTGTTTCCGAGCAGCAAAATTTGTTTCCGCAACATATATTTCCCACGCGGCTAAACTGGGAAACATTTGCCTTCGCAACGTTTCCGCAACAAAGTTTCCTTGGTTAGCCAGGCCTAAGACGCGAAATGACAGAATATTATTGCCAATACTATTATCTGTCACCATTTAGTCATTGGTTCAGTAAATGTCAATTGGAAAATAAATTTTGAATCATCTTTCCCTTGTGAAACAGGGTACTCATAAATATATTAAAACCCTAACCGCCTCCCGGTTAGCTCAATTGGTTAGAGCGCTGGATTGTGTTGTGCGGGAGGTCGAGGGTTCGAGCCCCGGCCGGACCGATACTCATGGTCTTAAAATAAGCGATGAGAGTTTACCTTTCTATGAACAAAAAAAGGGAATGATATTCTAGTCTTCTGGGATAAGGACGAATAAAATCCGTAGGCCCCGTCTCCTGTAGGGTTAAGTGTAGGAGACGTAAATTTCCCACGTACGAGATTACTGTGTAGCGGATGTCCTGCCCTGGGGTGGAATGGGTGGGAATTGGCCCTGAAAAACCCCATTGGGAGTGGTCAACTAATGTATTTATGTATGTATATATGGATTGCGGCAGGTTTTCATTTAGCATGTAAGACAAATATATTCTGAGACACTTCCTTCTATAATTATCATAAAACCTCTAGTTCTTTTAATGCTATAAAAAAGTGTTTTACCATTAGCCACATGCACATGTCCAAGGATACGAGAGACCGATTTTGAATTTTGTACACCAGTGGCTGATTTTAGATTTTGGACCCTGCTGGCCGATTTTAGATTTTGTACACTAGTGGCCAATTTTAGATTTTGGAGACTGGTGGCCTCTTCGCTTTTGGACATTAGTGGCCGATTTTGGATTTAGACGCTAGTGACGTTATTTCCTTTCCCGACTACAATACTAGCTAGTCCAAAAAGTACTTCATCACTGACGTAGAGATTCCATCTGATCTGATTCATTACAGTAGGGAGCTGAAGTTGACGTATGGTGTGTCAGGTCCTATAGCTTGACGA